ATATATAAAGGCTACCAATTTATGAGTGTTGATTTTGTAACCTGAGATGCTGCTGTATTCCTTGATCACTTCTAAGAGTTTTTTAGTAGAATCCCTGGTATTTTCCAGGTATACAATCATATTGTCTGTGAAAACTGAAAGTTTAATGTCTTCTGATCCTATGTGGATACCCTTGATTACCTTTTCTTCCCTAACTGTGATGGCTAAAACTTCCATTACAATGTTAAAGAGCAATGGAGACAATGGGCAACCTTGCCTGGTTCCAGATCTGAGTGGAAATGATTTCAATTTCATTCCATTCAGTATGATATTGGCCATGGGTTTGCTAAAGATGGCCTCTATCAATTTGAGAAGTGTCCCTTCTATGCCAATTTTCATAAGTGTTCTGATCATGAAGGGATGCTGGATGTTATCAAAAGCTTTTTCTGCATCAATTGAGAGAATCATATGGTCTTTGCTTTTTAATTTGTTTATGTGATGAATTATGTTTATAGATTTATGTATGTTGAACCAGCCTTGAGATCTTGGGATAAAACCCACTTGGTCGTGGTGTATAATTTGTTTGATGTGTTGCTGGATTCTGTTTGTTAGGATTTTGTTGAATATTTTCACATCAATATTCATTAATGATATTGGTCTGTAATTTTCTTTCTTTGTTGAGTCTTTTCCTGGTTTGGGGATCAAAGTGATGTTTGCTTCATAGAATGTGTTGGGTAGTATTCCTACTTTTTCTATATTTTGGAAAAGGTTAAGTAGTATAGGTACTAGTTCCTCTTTAAAGGTTTGGTAGAATTCTGACGTGAAGCCATCTGCTCCTGGGCTTTTCTTTTTAGGGAGATTTTGATAGTTGATGCTATTTTAGAACTTGATATAGGCCTATTCAACTTTTCCACTTGATTCTGGGTAAGTCTTCATGGTTCATCCTATAAGGGTACATGTGAATCTCTCTAACTGTAGAATATAAATGTTTCAACACAATAACTAAGAAAAAGACATGAAGGCTATGTTAACCAGTTGGATGAAAGTATTTCAAATTGTATATAGAAACAGTGCACTGTACCCCATGATACTATTAATGTACACAGCTATAATTTAATAATAATAAAAAATAAATGAACTCTCAGCCCCAGAACACCCACCCTAAAGAGGGGTCAGCTCCACTGCTGCCCCCCAGAACTCCTTCCAGACCAATGAAGAAGCAAGGAAGGCAGGTGCTCTCATAATCACTGTGACTGAGTGCTATGTATTCCCCCAACATTCCACTCTGGATCTGGGCAGAGCAGGCATTCACCAACCTTTTACATCTGCTGCTATAGACTAACCAAATCCATTGTGCTGTTGTTACCAGCTGAGTAGCACCAGAGCAGCTGTCACAGATCCACCTGGGTAGAATGAGAGCCCCAGCCACTACAACTCCTCTGTAGGGCATAGCAAACCTCCCAGATCTCACCTAGCCACTACAGCTGAAGAAGCAAATTCACAACTGGCTACTGTCCTGTGCCATTGTGCAGGCACTTTACAAGGCCTCATACCTCTCCAGGCATTTCTCAAGGTCTTGCAAACTGGACAGGCACCCACCAACGTTGCATGACACACCCCACCTCCAGTGTAGTCCTGTGACATACTGAGGCACTAGTGAATGTCCCATGAATCACCTTGACATCAGATGAAATATGAAAATGCACTCAGGCACCCCAAAAGGCCCCCCATTTGAATGCCCTTAATATCCATTTTTTGTTTAATTTCATTGGCTAGAATTTCCAGCAGTATGTTGAAAAGTACTGGCAATGGTGGACATCCTTGTCTGTTTCCACTTCTGAGTGGCAGTGCTTTCCAGTTTTACTTGTCTGTTTCCACTTCTGAGTGGCAGTGCTTTCCAGTTTTACTCCATTTAATATGATATCTGCTGTGGGTTTGTTATAGATGGCTTATATCAATTTAAGAAATGCCCCATCTGTGCTAATTTTCTTAAGTGTTCTTATGAGAAAAGGATACTCATAGGAATTTGTTGAATTTTGTTGAAGGCTTTTTCTGCATCTATTGCGAGAATCATATGGTTCTTGCTTTTGCTTCTATTAATGTGGTGAATTATATTTATGGGTTTGTGTTTGTTGAAACAGCCAGCATTCCTAGGATAAAGCCTTACCTGATCATGATGTACAATTTTTAAAATGTGTATCCGTGTTCTATTTGCAAGGATTTTATTAGTAGTTTTGTGTCTATATTCATTAATAATATTGGTCTGTAGTTTTTGTTGTTGTTGTTGTATCTTTTTCTGGTTTTGGTACGAGGTGACATTTGCTTTATAGAAGTAATTAGGGAGGGTTGCTTCCTTCCCAGTGTTTTGGAATAACTTTTTCAATATAGGTACAAGCTCTTCTTTGATGGCTTGGTAGAATTCTAGTGTAAAACCCCATTGGTTTTACAGGACTTTTTTTTGTTGGAAGATTTTTTTATTATGGTTGCAATTTTGGTACTTGATATTGGTCTGTTCAGAGTTGTAATTTTTTTTTCTGGTCAAGTCTAGGGAGATGGTTTGATTCCAGGTATTGATCCATTTCCTCCATAATTTCAAATTTCTGGGCATAGAGTGTTTTGTAGTAATCAGTGATGATCTTTTGTATCTCTGTGGTATATGTTTTTATTTCTGATTAAGATTATTAGAGATCTTACTTTTCTGTTGTTAGTTAATATGGCCAAAGTTTTATTGATTTTATTTACCTTTTCAAGTAACCAACTACTTTTTGTTAATTCTCTGAATATGTCTTTTGTTCTCAGTTTCATTTAATTCTGATCTAATTTTGTTTATTTCTTTTTTTCTGCTAGGTTTAGGTTTGGATTTCTCTTCCATGTAAAGTTCCTTGTGGTATTCATTAGGCTGTGGATTTCTGCTCTTTTTGTTTTTTGGATACGATCATTTAAATTGATCAATTTCCCTTAGTACTGCTATTGCAGTATCCCACAATTTTTATAGCTTGTTCCTTCAATGTCATTTTCTTTCAGGAATCTACTGATTTCCTTCTTTATCTCCTTCTTGACCCAGGTGTTATTCAGCATAAGGTTGTTTAGTTTCCACATTTTGTGTGGGGATGAAGGTTTTTGTTGGAATTGAATTCTTTTTGTATTCCATCATGGTTCAAAAATATGTGAGGTATAACTTCTATTATTTTACATTTTTTCAGAGTTGAATTGTGTCCTAGGAAATTATCAATGACACATGAGCTGATGAGAAGAATATATACTCAATATTTTGGGGGTGGAATGTTCTATATATATCTGTTAAACTCATTTATTCTAGATTCATGTTTAAGTTTGTCATTGGTTTACTTAGTTTTTGCTTGGAGGATATGTCCAGTTCTGTAAGTGGGATATTGAAATCCCTGGCTATTATGGTTTTGCAGGATATCATATTGTTCAAACTGGTTGGGGATTCTTTTACATATCTGGGAACACTTAAGTTGGGTACATAGATACTTAGGATTGAAATGTCTTCCTACTGTATTGTTCCCTAGTCTAGTATATAATGTCCATCTTTGCCGTTGTTTATTTTTGTTGCTTTAAAGTCCAATGTATCTGCAAATAGGACTGCAATTTTTGCTTTCTTATGGTTTCCATTTACCTGAATTATTGTTTTCCAACCCTTTACCTTCAGTCTTGTTTTGTCCTTGGAAGTTAGATGTGCTTCCCAAAGACAAATGTACTTGGCTTTTGTCTTTTTATTCAGCCAGCCATCCTGTGGCTCTTCAGTGAGAAATCCAAGCCATTGTCATTTAACGAGAAAACTGATTAGTATGGTGAAGTTCAGCTGATCTTGTTTTGTGGAGGTCTATTGCTTAGTTTTATCACTTGGACTGTTATGGAAGCGGGGCTTTGACCTTTAATTTCCAAATGTCTTTACTTTGGTGGTGGTCTGTTATAATGGTTTTGTATAGTACAGTTCTTAGTACTTCTTTCAGAGCTGGTCTTGTGGCAAATTTCCACAATGTTTGCTTGTCCCTAAGAGATTTTATTTCTCCATAAAATATGAAACTTAGTTTATCAGGATACAGAATCCTGGACTGAAAGTTGCTTTGTTTAAGATTAAAGATGAGTGCCTACTCCCTTCTGGCTTCATTTCCTCTGCCATTGTGTATTTTTTAAAGATTGTTTTGGCTATTTGTGGTCTCTTGAGATTCCATATGAATTTAGGGTGAGTGTTTCAGAAAAAAGTCAGAATCTTCAAAGAGATTGGATGTGTAGATTGCTTTGAATACTTAATATTAAGATGTCAATATTAAGTCTTTCAATCCAGAAATGTAAAATATGCTTCTATTTGTTTTTAAATTCTTTGATTCTTTCATTGATGCTTTGTAACTTTAATTCTACCAGTTTACAAACTCCTTGGTTAAGTTAATTTATAAGTATTTTATTCTCATTTATACTATTATAAATAAACTTACTTCTGTAATTTTTCTTTTCAGACTGTTTAATGTTAGTACATAGAGATGCAACTGATTTTTGCACAATGAATTTATGTTCTGCTACTTTGCCAAATTCATTTGTTAGTGGTAGAATGTTTAGAATTCCTTCCATATGTATTCATAATATCTGCAAATAGAAATAATTTTACTGCTTTCTTTTCAAGGTAGATATCTTTTATTTTCCTGGACTAATCACTCTGGCAAGAATTTCCCATATGATGTTGAGTAGAAGAAATGAAGGGACTTATTCCTGATCTCAGAGTAAAAGCTATCAGTATATTTTATCACTGAGTATTGGGTTTACTGTGAATTTTCAAATATAATATTTATTATTTTGAGGTAGTTTTCTTGTATTTCTAGTTTTTGAGTGTTTTTAATCATAAAAAGATGTTAAATTTGCTTTTTCTGATCATCTTTTTGATCATCTTCTTGATCATATAAGGTTTTTTATTTATAATGTTAATGTGGTATATTGTAGTGATGAATTTTTGTGTTTTGAAACATTATTACAATCAGCAGTGAATGCCACCAGAGTATGGTATATGATTCCATCAATATGCCACAGAATTGGTTTGTTATTGTTTCCTTGTGGATTTTTCCATCAAAGTTTATAAGGAATATGGTTTTATAATTTTCTTATTGTCTTTTTATCTGGCTTTTTTTTCAGAGTGATACTGACCTCATAAAATGTCACAAAAGGTCACATTGTAAATAATACCATTTTTAAAATGAAGTATTTAGTGTGGAAAAATCCATAAAAAACAGAAAGTAGATAAATGGTTACTATGAACTGGGAGAAGGAAGCAATGGAGGGTGGAGGCTGTGGAACTTTTTTGCAGTGATGAAAATATTCTGGGATTAGGTAGTGGCGATATCTGAAAAACTTTGTGATTATGTTAAAATCACTAAATTGTACCCATTAAAGAAAGGTTAATTTTATGGTATATAGATTATATATGAATAACTAAAAGTAGGGATGTAGGTGAATGACTTATATATTCATTATTCTCATTTTATTATAAATACTTTATAAACACTTATTGAAGGCCACATAGATGCTTCCCCTTAGGAGTCCAATGGGGGAAGATGACTTGGTCAGAAACAACTCTATTGCAATTTATAAAGTCTGCATTAAATGATTGGGGAAAGGAAACTCAGGTTATAGGTCATCTGATAAATAAACAATTATTTACTGTACTTGCATTGTTTTCTTTTATTAGGTGGATGGTGGAGTCTGCCCGGTGGCTGATTATCAATAATCAGCTAGATGAGGGCTTAAAGGAACTTAGAAGAGTTGCACACATAAATGGAAAAATGGTTTCTGGAGAAATCCTGACCACTGAGGTGATCTGGAAAGGGGAGTTGGTTATGAGCATGAAATGAAGACATGACATTACAGTCACACTAGTCTAGGTTCCTGGGGAAACTGCACTTCCAGAATTAGAATTCTCTGAGTGGGGCCTTCTATTTCTGTCCTGGTTCCCCATTGATTCATCACTGGAGTTGGGAAGGTATTGAAAAAAATAATAATTCCTTTTGTGTTTTGCAAGGATTTGGGCATAGATATTATAGATATACACATAATTCAGTTTCATGCACTTCTGAACATATTCATTGGTGAAAGTGCACATAATTATTGGAATAAATTGGTCATCAGGTTTTCATGCTCTTATCCTAGCATGCAGTGGAAAGAAATCAACAAATAATTCATTTCTCAGTATTTCACTAACTATGGTCCTTTTAAGGGAAATAAGAAAGACAATAATGGAAATAAAACTTAACCATGCACAAGATAGATTTAAAAGTTTGATCTTAATTTTATGCAAAGATTCAACAATTCACTAAATATTTATTGAGAATAAAATGTCAGTGATAATCTCTTCTACACAATGTGGATATGATGTGGCAGTAAATTGGATAAATGTCCTTTTGGGGGGGCAATTATATTGTTCTCATTAGAGGGCACTAATATTGTGAGTAGGAAAACTTCTCAGATTTTCTTTTTTGAAGTTTCCCTCCACTTGACTAGAAGTCAGATACTGACGTGGTTCATTTACATTCTCTCCCTCCATTGTTTAAAAATACTTATACACTACTATGTGCCAGTCTAGGGATAGATATTAATAAGAGAATAAGTCAGATATTCTGCCCTCAAGGAACATACATTGTACTATGGAATATAAAAATTAAAAGACCATTATAATACAGATTTGGTTCTACGACAAGGGTATATGCAGAATATTTTTGAGAGAACACAGAGAAGTATCCATTCTAGCTTTAATGAGCCAGAAAAGGATTAGGGTTTAGCTGGTAAAAAAGAGAAGAAAGCCTTTTCAGGCTTCACAGGAACTGGTTACTGAAGGCATTACTGATAGATGGCTCATGTCAGCTAAGAAGGAGCAAATGCCCTATAGAAGAAAATTTTAATAAAGGAAAACACACGGCTTCTACCTTGTGGCCCCAGAGAGTCCATCCCTCTGACTTGTTGAATAAATGACACATGCCCAGTGTGCAAAAAAGTATTATTTCATTAGAGAATATGCTCAGCATCTATAATCTTACATTAAAATGAGGTTTGAGTGTGGATGAGACTACTTGTGTATAGTTCTCTAACTACAGCACCTGCTATTTTTAGCTGTATGAAATTGAAGAGTCAAGATACCTGTTCCCAATACATCCAACATGCAATGGGGATGCAGAAGTGGAATAATTATTTAGTCATTCCTGTTCAAAAGTGGGGAGATGTGAGGTACAAGGAGTTCAGAGCAATTAAAAAACCCAGCCAGGCAAGTGTTAGGAAGATATCAGGGCATGGAAAAGGAAAGGAATTTTGGTCCCAGTTTTAGCATTCTGCCTTCTGGATCTAACCTCTGAATTGTCTTTACTCTCTCATGAAAGATAGAAGATGTTTGCAGTTGAATAAGATTCTCAGCCATATTTTACCAGTAGCATTTTGGGGAATGCATAGTTTTTCTCAATTCAGTGTTTTCTCTGATAAAGATTTCCTTAAAACATTGCAGACTCCTGTGAATGTCACTGTGGTTTAGCCATTTGTTACAGTAGCTCTGTATGGCAAGTACTAACATTAGAATGAGTTATCCATTGCTGTAGAACAAATTACCCCCAAATAGCATGGAATACAACAGGAATTTGTGCCAGATTTCATGGGTTCCCTGCTTGAAGGTCTATCTACATTTGCAGTCAAGGTATTTATTGCTACTTTGATATCGGCTGAAGTCTCAAGCTCACTCACACAGTTGTTAGAAAGATAAAGTTTCCCTCAGATGTTTGGAATAAGGACTCATTTGCCGTCACATGGATCTCTCCAACATGAAAGAGGTTCTCTTTAAAGGGTACATCTATCTAGAGCAGGCATCCAGCAAGTTGGGTGTCAGTATCTTTATAATCTACCCAAGGAAGGCAAAATTCATCGCTTTTGTGGTATTTTATTTATTGGCAGCAAGTCACTATATCTTACCCATACTCAAGAAGAAGAGATCATGCACAAGGAACACTAACTTTTAACAGGGAGAAGTGATCTATTCATTCAGCCCAAGTAGTACAGAGAATGTGGAGATTCAAAATGATCGAATGCATCAATTCAGATATTCCCATCCCATAAGTTCTATTTCCTTTCAGTCAGGGCAATGAACTTAGCAAAGGAGACCAAACAAGGTTCAGACTTTTGAGGTACTCTTAAAATTAAGTCCTGGTGTTTATCTTCAGTTTTCTATCCTCCACATGTGGGAGATGAGGATACCTTTATAGGAAGCTCCTTATGTGCACCCTCTGGATTTCACAATTCACTTTGTATTCATAGTCGACCACCACCAGTCCTCTTGTTATCTTTCTTTACAATACCCATCCAATTCCAAAGTCTTTTTTTTTTTTGCAGTTTTTGGCTGGGGCTGGGTTTGAACCTGCCACCTGCGGCATATGGGGCCGGCGCCCGACTCCTTTGAGCCACAGGTGCCGCCCCCAGTCTTTTTAATTATTATTTTTCTTGAAGCCTTTACAATCTTGAGATCTTATATACGCATTTTTATAACACCATCAGTAAAATTTTTAATACTTAATCACAACTACATGCTCTAATGCATGTCAGTTATGAGGTATTCATTGGACGATCGAGTTCCAAATCTCATCGTGACATCAAATTCTTTTCCTGCAGCAATGGTTGAAACTCCAGTTCCTCAGGAACTGGGAAATCAAAGATTTGCGTGTAAGAGCTTCATTGAAGAGTGTCGCAGCGGTTCTCAACCTGTGGGTCGTGATTCCTTTGTAACAATGAAAATACACTGAGGCATTAGGAAGGTTGAGAACCACTGGTTTACAGGAACATCATCTCTTAGGAGTAAGAGTATAGGATTAGACAAAAAATAAATTAATAAAAGTCAAAATGCCATGCATTTACAACAGAGGCCCCAGAAGATCTTGCAGGAAACTCTGAACCTGGGATTGCCCCACAGAATTTCTCCGACTTGCAGCAAGGAAGCCTGGTTTTCAAATTCCTGAAATTGCCAAATATTAAATAAGGACAAGAATGTCATATTCCCAACTAGACAGAAATTTCCTTGAAGATAGTGTACAGTATGTCCAGCTCATCCTCTTGTAGTTAGCACTAAGCCTGGAAATGTGTTGACTTTTCCTAAATGCTTGTTATTTTTGTTGTTGAAGTTTCTGAGATCCACCATGCAGGAGGAGTTGGATAGCATCCAGATCAAAGCATCCATTTCATTCTTGTTCCGTGCACCTAAACTGAGAATGAGAGTCCTCTACATGTCTCTTGTGAAGTAAGTTTTATTTGCTGATGATTAATTTTAAAATATTCATAATGTAAATCCATTCCTTCTTTAAAAAAATGTACAGTCCATTGTGGAGGGATGATTAACACATAAGAGAACAACAAATGATATCAAAGTGTTTCTTTAAGTGCCACATTTTAGGATACCCTAATAATATCTGAAGACTCAATGGGACTTAATTACAAATACAATCGTGTTTATTTGGATTAATTACAAACCTACAAAATGATGTACCCATTACCCAGACAAGCGCCTTTTAGCATTCCTGAATTATTTCTTGTGTCTCCCCCAAGTTTATTCTTGTCCAAAAGTACCAGCTATTCTTACCCTCATGCCCACAGATTACATTTGCCTGTTCTTAAATTTTGTATAAATTGATTATATACCTTTTATATATAAGAAATTCACAAATTTTGTTTTGTATAGCTGTAATTTTTTTTTGAGTGTAGGTCATTTTCCTTTATGTGAATATACCAAAATTTATTTATCTAGTATTTCTCATGACTATGGATTGCTTACATGGAGACAATTATGAATTCCCGGGTTTAAGGCATGAGTATGTATCTTCTCTATAGTAGCTTACCAAACAATATTCCAAAATGGTTGTACAGTTATACACTCCCATTATCAAGTATAAGAGTTTTGGTCATTTCATACTGGCACATATTAGCACAATCTGTATGTACTAATAGAAAGAGATATAAATTTTCATTTTCCTGATGACTGATGATGCAGACTTTCCTGTCTTGACTGGACTTTGCCCATTTCTACTGTCACTTCTTTATTCATGTCTTATTTATATAACGCTTGGTGTTGTGTTTTGATGAACTATTTCTCAATTTTCATGAAGTTTACCAATCAGTATTTTCTTTTATGACTAGTGCTTCTGGTATCCTACTTCAGAAATCTTTGCTACACCATATGTATAAACATATTTTCTTGTTTTCTTCTTAAACATTTATTCATCTATCATGTTGTGTTGTCAATGACCTATGTCAAATTAATTTTTTGCAGAGGATTTGAGATTGGGGTCAAGGTTTATGTTTTTCAGATGCATTGTCAATTTGCTCACCACCAGATAGTGAAAAGGCCATAGTTTCCCTATTTGGTTTCAGAGGTAATGTTATTAACCAGCTAACTGTATATGAGTATATATACTTTTGAACTTTCTGTTCTCTTTATATCTATTTTTGCCTTAAATGTTTTAGTTGTTTAAGAGAAAATCTATGTAGGTCTGAAAATTTGGGGTAAAAATAGTTAATAATATGTTCAGTTTCTTTTTTTTTTGAGACAGAGTCTCAAGCTGTCACCCTGGGTAAAGTACTGTGGCATCACAGCTTACAGCAACCTCAAACTCTTGGGCTTAAGTGATCCTCTTGCCTCAGCCTCCCAAGTAGCTGGGACTACAGGCACCTGCCACAATGCCTGGCTATTTTTTTGGTTATAGTTGTTATTGTTGTTTAGCAGGCCCAGACTGGATTCGAACCCACCAGCTCTGGTGTATGTGGCTGGCGCCCTAGCTGTTGAGCTACAGGCGCTGAGCCATATTTACATATTTTTATGGATTTGTCTTGCTAGAAGTTTCTGAAATTCAATAATCTTTTCAAAGAAATAACTTTATATACATTGTTGCATTCTTTATATTTTACTGATTTCTGGTCTTTATTATTTCTTTTGTTTCAATTTACTCCAGTTTCTGTGTGTATACGGGTGTGTGTTGTGTGTCTTTCAGGCAAAAGAGCTTAATTCACTTCTTTTCAAGCTATGATCTTTTGTGATGAATAATTGTAAGTATGAAGGAAGTATAAAGTTCCCTGTTAGCATTGACAGACTTGTATCCTATATACTTAAATAAATTTTATTATGTATATTTAAGGCATATAACATGATGTTCTGAGGTACATTAAAAGATAAATAGTTATTATAGTAAAACAAATGCACATATCCATCAACCCATACAGTTAACCATTCCCATGTGGTTTGAGGTGCTGTATCTTAGGTCTAAATCAGTTCAAAATAATTTCTAATTTATGATTTGGATCCTGTATGATTCGTTGGTTTATTATAAATATTCTTGTTCATTTCTAAATACCTGTGGACAATCTAGTTATTATATTTTGCCATGTATAATGCAAAAATTTTTGCCCCCATTTTTGAGGGAATAATAAGAATGTATATTATATGTTGGTGGTACTAATTCCATCACCATATAAATGCTTTTCATTCTTTTATTTATTTTTATGTGTTAAAAGTGTAACTTTAGAAAGCAAGAACAATATCTGTATCAAAATAATACCCTGGAATATGGTAATTGGTTTTGTTGAACTTACAGTGAGCTTCCAATGAAAGCATTTTCAGCCAACAAAGAGAAATAGGTTTCTCTTCATACACTTCAGGTGAGAGCTAGCAATCTAGCTGATATTTTAACAAAAATTATTAGAAAATCCCTCAGAAAATGTTTTGACATTTAAGCTAATAGCAATTAAATATACCCCACAAACTTTAAGCTAATAGCAATTAAGTAGCTAAAAAGTATGGCAACATGCAGAGGGCTCCTCCTTGTGAGGGAGTCAGGTGGCGCCGAGGAATTGCCCTGGCAGTTCCACCTGCTGCTGCCCCGGTTTTTCTTCTCCAAGTGCCACCACTTCAGCGGCCCTGAAGGGCCACCGAAAGGCCCTGTCGCCCTCCTCTCTGTATATGATGTCCCCCCACTTCCTCTACGCCCTTTTTGTTTTCATGGAAAGCAAAGCAGCATCTTGGTAGTGATGCTATCCTCCTGCCAGCCAATCTTGGCTGCAAGTCTTTAGTAAGACCACTGCACTTACTCTGTGCACATGTAGGCTCTTCAATTAGTTCCAGTTTAATAGCAAATGTATGTGCTGTTTGTTTTTCCACTTTGAGGGATACTTCATATGAAGATCTTCTTCGTTTTGGGGATACTTCAGAAGGATAATTGTCTCCAGTTTCATTCCAATTTCTGAAAAAGGCGTTCATTAGTTTATTCCTTCTTATGGATGAGTAGTGCTCTGTGGTACACAGATACCACATTTTGTTAATCTATCATGAATTGATTTGTACTTGGATTGATTTAAAATCTTTGCAATTGTGAAATGTTGGGATAAATATTCCAATGCATGAGTATTTTGAATAAAATTACTTCTTTTCCTTTGGATGGATATCCAGTATTGGGATTGGTGGAGTGAATGGTAGGTCTACTTTTAGTTCTTTGAGTAATTTTTATACTGTTTTGCATGAAGGTGTAAGAATTTGGAGTCCTAGAAGTATTCCCTTCTCTCTGCATTCATATCAGCATCAGTTGTTTTTGAACTTCTTAATAAAAGCCATCCTAACAGGGGTTCAGTGATGTCTCATTGTGTTTTAATTTGCATTACTCTAATTAGTGGCATTGAGCATTTTTAATGTATTTGTTGGCAATTTGTTACCTTCTATTTGAAAAGCCCATTTTTCTGTCTTTTGCCCCTCTATTAATGGAGTTGTTTTTTTTTCTTGCTGATTTACTTGAGTTTTTTTGTAGATTTTGGATATTTGTTCTTTATTAGATGAATAGTTTGTGAATATTTTCTCCCCTTGTATGGGTTGTCTATTTGCTTTGTTGATTATTTCTTTAGCTGTGCAGAAGCGTTTTAGTTTAATCAAATCTCATTTTATTTTTTTTTTGTAGCTGTGATTGCCACTGGGATCTTAGTCATAAATTCTTTGTCTGGGCCAATATCTGGAAATATTAAGAATAATTCCCACATTTTCCTTTTCTTTTCTTTTCTTTCTTTCTTTCTTTTTTTTTTTTTTTTGAGACAGTCTTACTATGTCACCCTTGGTAGAGTGCTGTGGCATAACAGCTCACAGCAACCTCAAACTCCTCGGCTCAAGCAATTCTTTTGCCTCAGCCTCTCAAATAGTTGGGACTACATGCATCCACCACAATGCCCAGCTATTTTTTGGTTGCAGTTGTCACTGTTGTTTAGCTGGCCGAGGGTGGGCTCAAACCCACCAGCTTTGGTGTATGTGGCTAGAGCCCTACTCACTGAACTACAGGCACTGAGCCTAATTCCCACATTTTCCTCTAGAATTCTTATGGTTTCATAACTTATATTTAAGTTTTAATCCATTTTGTATTAATTTTTGTGATTGGTGAGAAGTAGGGGTCCTGTTTCATTCTTCTGCATGTGGCTATTCAATTTTCTCAGCATATTTGTTGAATAGGGCTTCATTTTCACAGTGTATATTGTTTTCTGCTTTGTTGAAGATGTGTAAGCATAGGTGGATGGGCTTATGTTCTGTTTCGTTGTTCTATGTCTCTGCTTTTGTTCCAATAGGATGCTCTTTTGGTTACTACGGTCTTACAGTTTAGTTGAAGTTTGGTAATGTTATGCCTCCAGATTTCTTTCTTTTGGTTAGGATTGCTTTTGCTATTCAGGCTCTTTTCTGGTTCCAAACAGAGCATAGAATTAGTTTTTCCAGATCTGTGAAATATGACATTGGTATTTTGATGGGGGATTTCATTGAATCTGTCACTCACTTTGAGTAGTATGGACATTGAACAATGTTGATTCTATACTTCAATGAGTAGGTTATGTTTTCTTATTTGTTTGTGTCCTCTGTGATTTCTTTTTTTTTAAAGTCAAAATTTATGGGTTTTTTTTTTTTTGTTCTAGCTTTATTTATATAGTATGTTTTTTTGTTGTTATTGTTGTTGTTGCAGTTGGGGATTCATTGAGGATACAAAGAACCAGTTTACATTGATTGCATTTGTTAGGTAAAGTCCTCTTGTAATTGTGTCCCACCCCCAAAAAGTGTGTCACACACTGAGACCCCACCCCTCCCTCCTTCCTTCTCTTGGCTCTTCCTTTCTCTCATGCCCCTCCCTCCTTCTCTCTCTCTCTCTGCTCTCCCCTTCCCCCACCCCCCACCATGTACTAGGTCATTAATTGTCCTCATATCAAAATTAAGTACATAGGATTTATGCTTCT